TCATAATATTATATTTGACTTGCAATGCATATTATCATATAAACTACATACATACACTTATATATAACTATATAAATGTTTATATAGTTATATATTCACATATTATAATATTATCACATTATACTATCATAAGGAACCCCCAAAAACCTAATATTTTGTTCTATATATATTTTTCTTTCTTTTTTTATTATTATTATTTTTCCCTAATGAACCTTTAACATCTTACAATGGCATACTATTCGCTATTAGTTTATATGTTATAAGAGAGTTCTAAAAATATTACACATCCATATTGATATATGTATATATACAAGCTGTTGAGGCAGAAAATAAAGTAGTATTTATAGTAGGTAGCAAGGTAATATTTTTAATATCTTTATTGTTCAAAATCGTTTCTATAAACATACACACACGTATCATGTAAACAAGACCTAAATCTGAATGTATATTTTAACATACGTACATATTATACTTTTTTTTCTTAACTTGTGCTCCCTATATTTAACTTCTTCCCATTTGGGACATTAAGTATTTGTATATAAAACTAATATAAAAAAAAACAAGTCAAGAAATTATGCATATACGAAGATAGTAGAGGAACTATTGTGAATGTATTTAAAATAAGAAGAAAATAATATGCACAAACAACATAACTAATATAATTTTTATAAAGGAAATTAATTTCCATATTATGAAAGTGAATTGAAACTTTGGAATATATTATTTTTTCTCCGTTTATAATGCAAAAATGTAAAATTATTATATACGAAATTAGATAATGGTTATTGGCTTTTATTTTTTTGCTAAAACCTTCCAAATTTTGATATACTCTGGACTAGATGATAGTATTAAAATTTTTATATAAATTTAGAGGTCTCACTTACGACTCGTTTAGGCATCTAAACAATTTCATCTTTCTTGTTTCGCATCATAGTGCAGAATATGAGATGCATGAACCAATTATGTGAATGTTGTGCGAAATTGATTTGTAATCGTCTGTTTTTTGTACGCATATAAGTAACAGTGTGTTTAAGGGCAGATTATAAGGCATTTGTTTTGCTATACTAAATTCTTGTACTAAACAATCGTATGATAAAACAAAAAATAATTAACGTAAAATATATTTAATTATGTGAGTTTGCATTAAACGTACTGTCATAGCACTTTATACTCGAGAATAAAAGTAGCTCGAAAAATGTGTTCTTCTCAATATTTAACAACAGTAAATTAAAATTATTAAATTGCCGATTTCAATATTTTAACAATTATAAATTATTTTTTATTATATAATTTTACATTTAACAAATTATTTTGCTGTCCTGACACAATTTCCGTGACCAATAATTAAAATGGCCTATAATTTCTGTATACAAATTTGACAAATAAAATCGATACTATATACGTAATACAAACGTATATAAAAATTCCTAAAGTTTAAAAAACTAATTTTACCTTTTCTTTTTTTAATAAAAAATACAATCGTATAAAAACAAGAGCAACATTGAAGAACATTTTGTTAAACAACAATTTAATGTGTTTATTTTCACTTTAATATCACAGCTCGTATATCGAGTTTACTTATACGAACGTAACATATTTTTTTGTTTTATTTTCCTAGAAAGGATCAAAAATATTTTCACATCTTCACGTATACACCCCAAAAGTATTTCTTCACTTTCTTGTATATAATAGCTACCTTTTTTAGAAAAGTCAAAAATTTTATTATTATGTAAAGAGTAAAATAATATTAAAAATTGCTATAATTTCCTTTTACCTTTGTTTTATTGTTGCAGACTATTATGTAGGTATGTATATTGTATGTGTAAGTAAAGTAAATTAGTTTAAACCAAAAATATTTTAACCAAGAAAACCAAGAGAAATAGAATATGTGCTGTAAATCATTGGTAAATGAATATTTTTGGAATCGAGAAAAAATTCGTGTATTTTTTTTTTGGAGCAGGGAATTTTTTTTTTTGGGATGAAAATTTTCTACTCATTAATGTATGTATATATGTGTGTGTTTATAAAATAAATATACAGAATACACTTGAATATTTTATAGTCTTTTTAAAGATAATTTATGGATTTTGATTAAAGTTTTTCTTTTAACTCTACTATACATTTAGTTTTTTTTTTTCAACAAGAACACTTCGATATTTTCAATTTGAATATTCATTGTGTTATTAGTTGGATCTTATTAACATAATATAATATGTGTAGTATAGGAAATGTAAAAAATTATGAACATTTTAGTATTTCGGGATAAAAATTATGATGAAAAGAGAATTTCATTAAACTTCCTTAATACATATTTCACATATTAAAAAATCAAAAGTTTAAATTCAAAATCCATTGAAAGAAGACTTTGGATTGGAAGGCTTGTATATATTTAAAATTTTTCTTTTAAAATTTTTTAACATATTAACGCTCTTTCAATTGAAATAGCAAATAATTAATAAATTATTGATAAAATTAGCCGCCATTTCCAAAATACACATGTACATTAAGTATTTGCCGTAATATATGCAAAATTTATCCATTATTACCAAAATTTTTTTATAATAAATTGGATAAAATCTTATTGTTTCCTGTTCGGTTTCGATTTCCAAAATGAATTGTAAACCCATCATTAACTTCAATTTCTTATATATTTTTCGTCTTACTACAATTTATTTTAAAGAATAGAACATTTTGTATATTTGCGACCTATTTTTTTATGCAATGACTTACAATTACAAATTCAATTTTTAAAATTATATTACTTACCTACATTTAAATTTATCACAGTTCCTTATGTTACGCTTATTAACAAACCTTTACAAAATATAACAAATATATAAAATTTTACCCGATTTCATAAATTTCACACTATGCATATTCGTGTATAATTTTGTACATAAATTATTTACAAGTATTCAATAGAATTCATTTATATTCAAATTTTTGAAGACGTGTCAGACTATAAATCTCAATTTTATTCACGGTGTCAAAATTATTGAAAGAGATGGTATATGTGTATAAGAGATACATGTAAATTTATAATATAAAACAGGTATGTATATGATAGGTATAACAATATACATAACTGTTATAACACATATATACAATCTGTGTTTATACGCATTTGTACTACAATTTTTCATTTTTTACGCCTAGATGAACTGAAAAAATTTTCCTTTTTTTTTTGTTTTTAAAGTCGACTATTGGAAAGAAAAAAAAACGTTCAAATACATTTTAGTTTGGTATCATGTACAAAATGAATATGTAGGGGAAAGAATTGATAAAGTTACAAATATGTAATAATACCACATGTTAACATGGTTGTAAATGAAATTTGACAAGTATAATATTTGGTTTAGATTTTTTTTTGTCTTTGAAATATTATGTATTAAGAATAGAGACGAGTAAAAATGTTATATAATATCATTGAGTAATATTAGATTTTATAATAAATATAAAGAAAAAAAAAATAAAATAGGTGTCAATTATAGGTGTACTCAGTTGGGAAATTTTAAAATCAAATTTAAAATCAACTGCTCTACATGAGTTGCTTTAAGAGTTTCAAATTACAATAACAATTGAATCAGGATGTTCATTTTGTATGCATATAATAATTGTATTCATTTAAAATTAAAAAAATGTTAAAGTTTTAGGAAAAAATATGAAATTCACTAAGTATAATTACTATAAAGATATAAAATAATTGATGTATAACAAAATTTTCCTAAATTTTCCTAAAGATGGTATTGTTAACCCAATATTGATTACATTTATTAATGTAATATTTTGAAGTTTTGTAAATTCTTACATGGTGTGTTAGTATTCAAGGTCTCAGTATTTAAGTTCGCCACTACCAAAGAAATACGATTTTTGTGGTTATTCTACACATTACTGCAATTGTTGGTAATTAACTGTAGTCTATACACTTTGAAAAGACTGTAATATTTAATTTACGAGTTGAAGATCATTATCAAAAAGTGTAATTATTTGGGACATACAGTTGGGCATTTTTAAAAATATATTGTTCAAACCATATTTTTTTAATTAATTAATTGTCTAATAATTTAAATATTTACAGTTAAACAGCCAATATTGAAATTTTTTTTTTCTTTTCAACTTTCTAGTTTGAAGAAGATACAAGACCTGTGAACTTTATCAACAGAATTAATACGTAAATAAACCTAAACAATATATGTATGTTCGTATGTATAATATTGTATGATTTTAAATTGTATCTTTCCAGCCTTTTTATTACCACGTATTAATTACATCAGCGAAATACCAAAATCATCTCTTAAACATTTCATTAAACAGTTTTAAACTGAAATTGTATAATTATTTCAAAATATTTATTAACCGTTATCAAATTATATATTTTTTTGGAAAAAAAGCTTTATATTCCAATTTTTTGATATTATATGCATTGTACATACTTACATACACAAGGTAATAATAAAATATTCTTAACTCTAAATGAGCCATCTATTGGTAATAATTCTTAGCTTTTAGTTTTAAAAGTAACAGTAACAAAACTTGTTTTTTAAATAAAAGCTTTTAGTTTTGACGAACATTAATCGTTTAACGAACTCTTAACGAATAATGAATTTTAAATATCAAAAATTTGATAAGTTGAAAAGTGATAATTAAAAAACCGTTAAATAAATACTGTTGTATTGCAAATCATTCAAAATTTTTAGAATCTAGTCGAAAGGTATTGGAAATTTTATGAATTCAAAAAGAAATTAATGCAATAGGTATGTATATAATTTGAACTGAAAATTTAAGCAGTTGCCATTTCAGAATATTATAAATTGGCATTCACATGATAGATTCTGAAAACTCTTTACACATTGCATCCTGACATTCGTGCGGAAAGCATGTGAAAATCCATTTACTGCAAGGAATTATTGCGGAATTAAATATTTCTTCACTGGTCCTCGTTAATTATAGGATATTAGTATTAGTAACAACTGATTGCGACATTAATGAAAAGCAATTAATTAAAATTTCTCTTATTTTATTACCAAAAGCAAAAAAAAAACATATTTAATCTAATTAGTTTTTGTTTTCGTAAAATCAAAAACTCCCGCACAAAAATAACATTAAAAAAAAAATAAGATCACATATAATACAATTTTGTTATAGCGAAAAAAGCTACAAAATAACAAAAACATAAAAAAATATACAACTAAAAATTTAACAACAACAGAAAAAAAATTGTATGTATATACTATATACAATATACAAATTTAGTTCTAGTCTAAATATTAAATTTATTACACTTAAATTTTATATTTCCCATTATAATTTAGCCTTTGTCTAAACCCTATCTAATACCCTATGTGTAACAAGGAATAAATATACATGATGTATACACCCTATTTTAAAATACTGTCCTATCTATATGACAAACAGCATGATTGTCCCCTAATAACTCAAATTTTATTACGATTACTTCTATATTACAATAATCAAGAATTTCTTTATAACTTATTATGAAATCTATAATTTAAAAACTATACTATGGTCAAGAATATTAGGATTCTAATCTTATACAAGATTACCTAATTTCATAAATTTTAGAATAAACGTTAAAATATCAAAAATACTTGTCAATACAAGAGTTAGCTATTAGAAAAACTAAGTCGTAAAAAATACAGAATATATTTTACAAAATGAATTCACATAAAAGACAGCCTTATTTTTGTATTCTAAAACCATAAACGCAACCAATGATTACAGACCAATATAGTTCAAATTTCAAAATGTTATACAAAGAAACTACTTATTTCATATGCAATACTTTAGTAAAACATTTTCTATTAGACTGCATTTGGCTTAAATTATTTCTAATTTTATAATTTATACGATTTTATTTAAGAAGGATAATTTTTAATAAATTTAAAGGATTTCGCATGTCTAAGTTCTAATACTAAAAATTTTAGCATAATCTTAAATTTAATATTTAGAACATACAAAATGAAAAACATTACAATGTAATATTTTTCAGATTTAGAACAATTCATCTTTTGGATATAAACTATCCCATATTTCCATTTTTTCATTTTCCGGTAATTCAATATATTTCAATTTGCTATTAATATTTAAACATTTCAATTTTTCTCCTTTTTCTAAACTCTTCCATTCAACATTTTCTAAAACTTCACCATTTGGATTACCATTTTTAGCGAAGTTTGTTAAAAAACCTGTCATTCTCTGAATAATTTTATATTCAAGAGCATCTTCTTTAAGAACTTCAGCAATACAATTTAAGAATATATATGATAGATCATCACCATGACATGCACCACGTACTCTTCTACCGCACCATACAATACGAATATGATTGAAATGTTCTGAATCAAAATCAAATCGGTAAATATATGTTGGTGCTGTTGCATATTGTAATCTAGATTTCGCAGTTCGACTTAATCCATGCCAAAAATATTTGAATGTTATCACCTAAAATTAGTAAGAAAAAAATAGGGTAATTTCAATAGAGATCAAATCATTTTATAATTTAAAAACATATAGTGGCTTAAAATTTTGAATTAATCATAAATTAATTATTATTCTAACCTCACAATATTGCATTCTAGTTTTAGGATCACCTGCACCAAGTTTTCGATCACCGAAATAGCCCTTTTTTATTCTCATCCCATATTGATGACAAATCTCACTATTTCTGTCCAAATTCAATTCTAATGGTACAATATACTCGCAATCATTTAAATTTTCCATTATATGCGGATGTTTCTTAGTTTCTAGGAAATTTAAATCAAAATTGTAGGAATCAATGAAATTTATTTATTTAAGGTATTTACCTGGATATGAAAAAAGCCCTTCAAATGATGTTCCACCGAGAATCATTGGTATACTATTACCCCAACAATTTCTCATCATTTTAATTGGATTTTCCGGTATAATGCAATCATCCATAATATATGGTTCTATAACTGGCCCATACGGGAATAAAATTTGATTTCGACGTTCTTCTGATGTTAACAACTTTGATTCAGCTTTTAATACTTCTTTTGGTGTAGCATTCATTAAAAATTTATAAACTTCTTTATCTTTTGGTAGACCCGTATAACCGATATTCTTTGCTAAACGATATGCCCATTGTCTTGGTGGTACTCTTGCCCATGGTGTTATAGCACAACCAGACATTAAAACCATTTTATGAAATAAATTTTTTGTTTTATCTGTTAATGACATGTAGTGTGTTGATGCACCACCTGCACTTTCACCAAACACAGTTATATTATTTGGATCACCACCAAAATTATTAGCATTTGCTTTTATCCATTTTAATGCTAATACTTGATCTTTAAGGCCAGCATTACCAGGTATACGTAACGATTCATCTTCTAAACTCAAAAAACCTAAAAGTATAATATTACATTCACATGTTATTTAATATTTAAAATTTTTCTAGAAGAAAAAAAAATTTATTTTTATACAGGATCCAGTCAAATTTTAAAATTTAACAAATTTCCATCACCTTTGAAACCAATCACCTCTAAACCAATGTATTTTAATTTTCTTTTAATCGACATAGATTTTCAAATCTAATTTTTCTTTAGTTTAACTAAAGTTAGTTTAATTCACATAACTTATACTGAATCCTGTTCAATATCAAATTTTTAAATTCAACTCAATTCAGCTAATTTTTTTTTTGGGGAAATTCCTCGAAAATTTAAAATTTTTAGTTACAAAAATATAAAAATTATGAAAATCAATGAAAATTCTTACCGACCTTAACACGATCACGTATACATTATGATGATTCAAAATTTAAAGGGAATGAACTTTGAAGTTAATAACAATTTCTTGTAAAAAAAATGAATTCTGAATAATTAATTATTAATATTTCTGATGATAGTTTATGATTAATTCACACCGAATGAACATAAAATAAACATTAGAAATTTATTATTACAACATTGTAAAAATTATGAAATTTCATAATCATTAGAATTCACAAAATTTTTGGAACCAAATTTTACAAGCAAATACGATTTTTGTATTTTAAATCCAATGAAGCCAAGTGTACTTTGAGTCTATTATTAAACATAACAATTCAATTGAAGTCTGGCTTTAAAAACCACCTTCAGCTGTTAAATAAATTTTTCATTAATTATGAATGCGAATTTTTATCTTCCTCAAATTAATAGTTGTAGTATTGTATGTATTAATGATCCCAACAATTGGCAAACAAAATTTTATTCTAAATAAATTAAACAATAATTGTGTTGGTTAAAAATTCCTTAAAATCTAATTATCATACTCAAATACTGAATGTGCAAAATTGTGATAAATCTTTGATTGTTTTAATTTAATAATAATTGTACATAATGCAAAGTAAATCTAGCCAATTGAACTAGATTCTAGTGCAATTATTACAATACAATAACAAAGTGTTCTCATTAAATATTTGCTTTGCAACAAAAAACTTATTACTGTTTTTAGCACTTTTCCAAAAAATTTTTTGAAAAAAGTGCTTATTATTCATCATACCACACAATTGGTATGAAATTGTATAAACGTACAAATTTGCAAATGAAATACCTGTGAAATGAATTATATATCAAGCGAAAATTATTCTTATTTGCACAGAATTGAAGTAGTGTGTATGAATGGAAGCATAAAAATATACGATTACAGTATGAACATGTTGAAAAATTAATGCTTAAACTAACATAAATATTTGATATTCTGCGTTGAGAATAAAGATTAATTTTCTTTATTGAAATGTTTAGATAGAACTACTCACAAGTGTAATTACAATATATTTACCTATTTTCTAGTTTTATACCTATTTTCTAGTTTTATAAATGTTCTCATACTTATTTTAGCATAATACTATCAAGTGAATCTATTTTGAAGACTATTAAAAACCAAAATACTTTTCATTAGGTGAAATTTTTTATGTAAGAATTCAAAGTTACTGATTATACTTAGAAATATAAAGAATTTCCTAAAATAAATTTTTGAATTGAATAGCAAATTATTAATTTTTCGCTTATTAAACCTTAAATAAATGGCTTTATTATACCCGTACGAACGTATGTTCGAAGGGTATACTAAATTTGCCTTACCGTTTGTAACGCTAAGAAATAACGGTGTTAGATATAGACTCAAGTGTATGTTTTTGATCAGCGTCAAATTCTGAGTTGATTTAGCTTTGTCTGTCCGTCCGTCCGTCCGTCCGTCCGTCCGTCCGTCCGTCCGTCCGTCCGTCCGAACGATAACTCAAAAACTAATTGAGCTAAGTTCACCAAATTTTCACAAATGATTTATTGTAGTAAGTGCCAGAACCCTATTTAAATTGGACATGATCGGGGTACCGGTTCGGGTAGCTGCCATACAACTTCAAAATTCATTTGGCTATATCTCAGAAACTATAAAAGTTGTGGTATTGAAATTTCACACAAACGAATATATTAGTAGGGCCAATGTGTCTTATAAAAGTCGTTGAAATTACTTGACTCCTTCTGGTACCTGCCATACAACTTCAAAAGTTATTTGGCTATATTTCAGAAACTATTAAAGCTATGGTATTAAAATTTCACACAAACAAATATATTAGTAGGGCCAATGTGTCTTATAAAAGTCGTTGAAATTACTTGGCTCCTTCTGGTACCTGCCATACAACTTCAAAAGTTATTTGGCTATATCTCAGAAACTATAAAAGCTGTGATATTGAGATTTCACACAAATGAATATATTAGTAGGGCCGATGTGCTTGATAAAATTCGCTAAAATTTCTTGGCTCTTTCTGGTAGCTGCCATACAACTTCAATAGTAGTTTGGCACAACCAGTATTTTGAAAAACACAGTACTGAAATTTTGCATAAATTAATATGGTAATACGGCAACTTAAAGTCATAGTCTGCCCCATAGTTAGTTATGGCACATTAGTTATTCGCACATAGGATAACAAATTCGTACGGGTATCACAGAGTTGACAAGGTCAACTCTATTTTTTTTCTCGTTTTTCTGTTAAATCCACAATTTCTGTGAGTGAAGAAAAATTCGAAATGAAAATATTACAAGCAAGAATTTGTTATTAAAGTTTACTTTTTTAAGTTCTTTGCTTTAACTTAAAAAGAATGGAAACATCTTCAGTACATGTCATCAATTCAGAACACATAAATGACAAATTTTCATTTTAATTATTAATTACTACATGTGCGTACACCGTAAATAGTTTGTGTTATACTTGGTTTTCGTTGATCATACAATATATTTGACTGAATATAGCACAAAGTAATTAAAATATTTTTAGCAAAATTTATTTTTAATGTTGAAATAATACTGAAAATTTAAATCCTAAACATAGTTATTTACTATTATGGTATTGCAATACGAGAAATGACTTTCAACAGCACAGCTAGTATAAAGATATTTCATGTAAAATATTTTTTGTAAATTTATTAAAAATATTGGCACATAACAAGGATATTATAAAATTACACTATAATAAAATTGGCATTAGCCACACTTAAAGCTTTATAATAGCCTAATGCAACATATTTTTTGCGTTGCGTACCTTGAATACCTTCAGAACTAAATTAAAGATTAGGGTAATTTTTTGAATGACAATTAACCCATTACCACATATTTTCAAAGCTAAATTTCATTTCGTATGATGTGTGTTTTAAATTTTAATAAAAAACTTATGACATGAATGCAATTGAAGCAGAATTTTGTAAATCTTTCAAAAATTATCATTTGAACATATAAAATATCAGACTTAGAATCTACATTTGGGACATTTACATTAGGCTATTGCTTTAATTCGTGTTTATTTGAAAGCAATTTAAAAAGTTCTTTTTTGCTAAGCTTTAAAGCATAATCAATAATAGTTTAAATTGTAAAATTTGTAAAATTTTCAAAATATTTTGTGCATTTATAAAAAAAAAATGAATAGCTACAGCTAGCCCGTTGCACATATATTTGTTCAATAAAAATTTTTGTATGCACACATATAGCAATTAGTAAATAATTAATTTGCAACACTGCTTTTATAAAACCTACTAAAATTATACAAAATCTTTTCGAAACAGACCTGTTCAAATAATTGAAAGCCTCTTAATACTCCTAACTAAAGTACTATTTTGACTCACTTATATAGAATACTTTTTTTGTTCTGTTCAAAATTTCCAGTAAATAAAACGAAATATTTTTCTCAAGTTCTTTAAAAACGTTTTTTCATTTTTCTCAATTTTAAAAAATATATTTCGAATTTAATTGTAAATAATTATTATAAATTAATTATAATAATTATTTTAAATTTCTTGTTTCTTATTTTTTAATCATCCTCAGGTACATTAACAATATCTCGATAAAAAAAAGTGAAGTAATTAAAAAAGAATTAAAATTTTAATTTTAAATTAAAAAAATTAAAAAAAAACAGAATTAAATTCTATTATAACTAAAATTTTTCACATTATTCTTTATACACAAGCTTAAAAAATCATACATTATATACGAAATGTATGCACATACAATAGTACATGAAATACATGTATACTTACATTATACATTATAAAAATTTTCAATAAATACAATTATACTCGTATATTTACAATTTATATCAAAATTTAATACGCATATAACTTTATAGAAATTATTATTGTTATATATAGTTTAATATTAATTATTTATATAGGAAAATTTAAAAAAAAAAACAGAATATAAATCATATTCCCTATATACAACTTGTACATTTAAATTAAATCTACACTCTCATATAAACTATCCCAAACTCTCATTTTTTCAGCTCCTGGAAATTCTATCATATCACTGTGTTCCATTGAAAAATTAAAACATTTTAATTTATTATCTTTAATTTCAATTTCAGTCATTGGTTGCCATTCTGGGAGATTCATTTCAATTGAATTTGGATTACCGGTTTCAGCAAAATTTGTCCAACATGTAATTAATTCTTGTATTGCTTTTAATTCTTTTGAATTTTTTTGAACATCCGGTGTTATTGCCGATAAAAATATATAATTCATATCATCACCATGACATGCTCCACGTACTTGCCATCCACACATTAATTTTCTAACTAAATTATGTGTTGGTGAATCAATATCAAATTGATATGCATAAATTGATGATTCTTTAGATCCATATGTAAAATGTGATTTCATAGTACGTTCAATACCATGCCAAAAGAATTTATATGAAAATAACTGGAAAATTTTTAAAAGCATTTAAGAGAAAGTTTTTAAGATAAAAATTTTTCTGTTAATCACATAAAATGTATTTTGTACGTATCGACAATTCTAAATCTGATTTGTGATGGAAAGAAATTTTTTTGAATGATTTTCGAAAACCTTCACACGAAGTCTACAAATTAAGTTCATCCATTTTTTATTTATTATTATATCAAATACCACGAATGTTGGTCTCAACTTGTGAGTTCAAATTTTGTGAGCTAATAATATACTTAAAATATAAATTCTTGGGGCTGTATTATGTTTTTGTACTAAATTCTAACCATTTGAAAAACACAATATTGAGAACTCAATTTAAAACAATTCGAAAACTTTAAAGGATCATTAAAGTTATTTTATAAAATACAATTCAAATACAATAGTACTTAAAAAAAAATCATAAAGAACGAAAATACGAACAAAATCTCATTAATAATTCTAGAGCATATAGAAAATTCTAACAAAATTCTTTTACATCATTTTAGAAATGTCGATACTTGGAAAAGAAGAATTCAAAATGCTTTTCTTTTTTTTTTCTAAAAATCAAACAAAAAACTTACATCCAAATAACATCCTAAAACTTTTTTGTATAATTCTCTTGTGGGATTATTAGCAAAATTTTCTAATTCTTTTTCATCAAAGAATGTATGAGTTAAACGTTTTCCATATTCCATTGATTTTTCTGATCCAATTGTTAAATTTAATTCTAATGGGACAACATATTGGCAATCACCATTAATCCATTGTGGATTTTTCTTTGCTTCTAAAAATAGAATTTTTTCATTATTAATTTCATGTAAAAATAAATAAAAATAAAAAAAACGAAATCCTTAGCTTTTTATAATAATATTTTTGTTTCTATTGTAAAAATAAAGGAGCAACTTTCAAGTTGGCTTGTTATTGTGAAAACAGATTTTTTGCTCTTAGTTCTACATAAGAACTAAAGAAAATAGGAATTTGAATCGTATTTCTTTCATATCATTTATAATACATGTAGAAAATTATAAGTGGGTTGCAAAATAATTTTACAAAAATAATTTGACTCCATTTTTCTCATTAAGCAAAAACTTTTTATGTCTAGATCGAATTGAAAATTGGATTCGGAAGTGTCTTTAACAGACAACTGGGAACAATTTTTTTAAATATTTCGAAATAATGCAAAAGTTGACAACTTTTTTTGAAAATTCACTTATAAAAAAGTTCACTTTTGTATAATAAACATTGAAATCTCGAATGTGTGCGGAAAAATAACAAAAGTAAAATAAAAAATTTAATATATTTTCTTTTCAAAGAAAATTAAATTTAATTGGGCATAAGCAAAGAAAATATTTATCATAACTTTTAAACTGGAAAAATATTTTGAAAATTACGTAGGTTGCATTAAAAACAAAAACCCTTAGTTGTGATTTTATTGTCAGAAACCAAAACGCTGAATTTTAAGAACTCTACAAATAACTTTAATTCATGTATAAAAAACACAATTATGTAGGCATATGAACGCTGTTTGCAAAGTTAAGCCAACTATTAATATTAATATCAATAAACTATTTCATGTTAATTTAGCTTTGAATTTGTATGCCTAAATACAGCTTTTTGGAATATAAAAAAATACATTCTATTACCAGTTCATTTAGATAATTCCTAATAAAAAATTATTGGCCATGGTCGTATTGGTTAAATTTAAAATTGCTTAATTCAGCTAAAAGACTCACCTCCGTAAAAAATTAATCCTTCAAATGATGTACCACCAATAATCATTGGTAAATTACGTCCCCATCCTTTTCTCATCATCAATTTTGGTTCTTCTGGTACAACACATTGATCTGTTATATATGGTTCGATAACTGGTCCAAATGGAAATACAATACAAACATGACGTTCTTCATTTGTTAATAATTTTTGTTCAGCTTTTAATATCGCTTCACTTTTAGCTTTATTTAAAAATTCAAAAACTTTTTCATCATGATCAACACCATTATAGCCCATCTCTTTGGCTAATCTTAATGCCCATTGTATTGGTGGTACTTGAGCCCATGGGCATAATACTGTACCCGATTGTAATATCATTTTTTGAAATAATCCTTTTGCTTGATCAGTTATTGACATATAGTGGGTTGAAGCTGCACCAGCACTTTCACCAAATAATGTTATATTATTTGTATCACCACCGAATTGCGCTACATTATTTTTAATCCATTTTAACGCTAATACTTGATCTTTAAGACCAGAATTTCCGGGTACATTTACATTTGGATCTTCCAGACTTAAAAAGCCTTTATAATAATATTGTTTTTATGGCGTTTATATTTTTTTTCGTTTTTGTAATTTTATATTTTTTTGATTTTTGTTTTGTTTGCAGTTTTTGATATTTTTATGAAAATTGCATGATGAAAAATAAAAACAAAAAAGACAAAACAAATTTTTTTTTTTTTTGGAATGTTTGATTTTTTTTTTTTTATATTTTTTCACTTTGAAAAACAATGAAAACTACAACAAAATTAGCAACATGAAAACAACATAAAATTATAACAGAAGTATTTAACATTTATACGTTACATACATACATACGATTATGCGGTTTTAACAATGAAATTTTTAATGTTTTTTTTTTGTTTTGCATGACAGGATGCTGCTGATGACGAGCTGATAAATGACGAGCACATGCAATGAAATGCAAGTAAACTAATTAAGAATTTTAAAATTTATAAAGCATAAGAAGAAATAGTATAGATTTAAATTTTGGATGTGAACAAAATTGCAATTAATTACACTTTGATTTTATTTAAAATTTTGTGCAAAAATAATTTTAAAGTATTTCTAGCACTACACAATTAAAAATTAATTATTAAATCTACAAACATGAAATATTTTAAACATGCATTAAAAACAAATTTATTTTAAATTTATTCCTCTTAATACTCTCACTAAATTTACACATATATAGATTTTTGTTATAACAGTTATTATTGGTAGTACAATTTTTTGTTAAATGAGTTAATCGGAGATTTAAAAAAAAAAATTCAATAAAAAAATAGATGAAAATAATGTTATACTTATATCTAAGCTGTGTTCGATTATAATATAATCGAACATAGCTTAGATATAAGTATAACAATGTATAACAAAACAAAATGATTGGATGAATGATTTTAAACACTTGATGCACAAAAGATATATACGATAGAGAAGCACAATAGAAAAAAACAAAATATTTCAAAAATATACAAAAAAATTTTCAATATTCCAATAAGTTTTTTACTTACCGAAAGGTCCAACACGATAAGTAATTGATATTAAAACGACATCCTTTTGCATAAAATAATCTGGACTGTATAAATCTTTAATTGCACCACCAGTTTCAAAACCTCCACCATATATCCAAACCATAACAGGAAGTGGTTTTGTTGGATTTAACTGTTCAAGTGTATATAAAAATGAAATTAAAATTTTGTATATGTAACGAGTATGTATATTTAATATTTTGAATATCAAAAAAAAGTATTGACTTTTGATTCGAAATACGAAACTGATTTAAAAAAAATTTTTAACTAATTTCAATATATTTTTGAAGTATTAATTTTATAAAGTCAGCTAAATCGCCTTCAAAGTATTGTAAATCAATGAGACTACATATGTATGTACAAATATTGAGATAAAAAATTTTGTTTTAAAATCAAGATTTCGACTGTAAAAAAGTATGATTTAAAATATGTATGTATGTACTTACATTTTTTGTGTAAACATTCAAATATAAACAATCTTCACAACCTTCAATTTTTTTTGTAACTAAATTTGTTTGCATTGGCATTGGACCCTCCCTTGTACAATCACGTACTTCAGTCCATGGTTCTGGTGGTTGTGGTGCTCGAAATCTTAATTCACCAAATGGCGGTTTAGCAAATGGAATTTTTTCAAAACTATAAAATGCATCATTCCATATTGATATTCGTTTAACACCACGTATTGGACCGTATGATGTTTTCACAATATGTTTTTCATTGGTTTTCAAACGATATTGCCGAAAACGAAACCGAAAGAATCTGAAATATAAAAAAAGAAAAATTTTATTCATATTTTTAGAATTTTTATAGAAATTTTTAAAATTAAAAATTGTCAAATAAAAAATAATTGCCTAGAATACTAGATACACCATAATTTAATGAACTTAATTATATTTGTGAAATTTGAGAGCTAATAATATCACTCTTTAATTGTTTAAAATTTCTATTTTAACCATTACAGATGACTTTAACGTTGTACATTATACAATAAATTTTTTTGAATCATCAGCAGGCAACAATAACTTTTACTCTAAACTGCTTTCGAGCAAAAAAAAATTGTCTGATCAAAATTTTTGAATTTTAAATGTTGTTTAAAAAATCTGCAAAATATAATCAGAATTATGACCCAGTCGTCTTTTTAATTAAATAATTTTTATTGTTCTTCAGAAATCCTTTTAATATTCATTAAATAATCAAATTGCACTCTAAAATCTGACCTCTTGTCTGATATGATAACATTGCTTTTATTATATAATATTGGTAATCTTATATGAACGGAGCATACTGATAAAGTATAATTTAATTACTAATCTTGTAGTTTCCAACAAGACCCAAAAAAAAATTATAAGTTGAATTCAACTCTGTGCTGATAACGAAAAATTAAGATTGTAGCACAATGCTTATGAAATTAAATAACAACAAATACAATTAAAACCTACAAAAAGAAGAAAATGAGCTCTTCTATCTATATCATGGTATTATTATAATATGACCAAAGGTCTAAATCCGGGATGAATCACACTTTAATTTTTATTTATGTGTGTAGTTATTTAAGAATAAGTCAACATTTATTAGTGAAATAAAGTAATAAGAACAAAAAAAAATTACTTAGTTTTTATGATATCATAATTTGAAGGTAGAGACGACAAATCAATAACAAACAATAAAGGACACGTGCTTTCAAACGAAAAATGAAATATCTGTACGTACTATGTCTATATTTGGTTTATGAACCAAAGCTATTAATTTTAAAATAAAAACAAAAGATTGTAATGCAAAAGAAATTTTCAGGAAATTCCATAAAACATGAGTTGTTTATCTTCAATATTCTCTCAGACTATAAAGAAAAAATAAAAATAAAGCAAAAGAAAAACGAAATGGGTACAAAATATTTGTTCTTTTTCGATTTACTTTAACGGGTTGCATGTCCATAAAAAATTTGATGTAAGGAAAATGATAGCCCTCCCTATATATTATTCTACTCATTCAAAAGTGATTTCGGATGATAATTACTGAATTGGTGTAATTGCCATGAAGGGAGACCGAATTACCTAGTATCTACAGCCAAATAACTAAAATCTGCTGAATAACTCAATGTAAACAACATTTTTTATTTAAATTAAGTTTAAAATCAAAATAATGTTTGCAATTCTTTGTTATGTACTTAGATTTAGTAAGAAACTGACCTTAAACTCCAACTATTTTTATTTGCAATTTAAAACAAAATAATATTATAAAAACAAATTTAAAAAAAAAATATTATTTGTTTCATTATTAAAATACTAAAACTTTTTATTACCACCGCTGAAATTTATTACGATTTTAGCTTTTTAATTGAAAACCAGTTTAGAAATTTTATACCTTTAAACATCTTTAACGTTATTCAAGTTCAATTTTAACACAGTATTAAAGTAAAATCGAATATTTATGCAATTAATTAATAAAATAAATAAATTTATTAATTTTATATTTCTTGTTTTCCTTAATATAATAAAATACATATTATGTATATGCACTTATATATGTGTGTACATATAATAACATTATCTTCGTATTTTAATTACATAGAGATTATTAAATATTATAAATTTTTATTTTTAATTTTATAAGACATTTAAAGATAATTAATTATAATAATAATATTGAAAATTATTTTGCTTATCAGTAAAATTTATAACGGCCAGACTGCAATTATTCTATTTACTTTTGCTTTCCTTCAGTGACATTCCGTCATATACATTAACATACATATATACAGTATGCAGTACAGTATACTTGATGGGTTTAAAGTTGAATTTTTTCAATGTGAATAAAATGTGATTTAATACAAACACATTCATAATTATACCCGTACGAACGAATGCTTGAAGGGTATACTAAATTTGCCTTACCGTTTGTAACGCTAAGAAATAACGGTCTTACATATAGACTCAAGTGTATGTTTTTGATCAGCGTCAAATTCTGACTTAATTTAATTTTGTCTGTCCGTCCGTCCGTCCGTCCCAACGATAACTCAAAAACTAACTGAGCTTAGTTCACCAAATTTTCACAAATGATTTATTGTAGTAAGTGCCGAAACCCTATTTAAATTGGACATGATCGGGGTGCTGGTTCGGGTAGCTGCCATACAACTTCAAAATTTATTTGGCTATATCTCAGAAACTATAAAAGTTATGGTATTGAAATTTCACACAAACGAATATATTAGTAGGGCCAATATGCCATATAAAAGTCGTTGAAATTACTTGGCTCCTTCTGGTACCTGCCATACAACTTCAAAAATTATTTGGCTATATTTCAGAAACTATAAAAGTTGTGGTATTGAAATTTCACACAAACGAATATATTAATAGGGCCAATGTGTCACATAGAAGTTGTTGAAATTACTGGGCTCCTTCTGGTACCTGCCATACAACTTCAAAAGTTATTTGGCTATATCTCAGAAACTATAAAAGCTGTGATATTGAAATTTCACACAAACGAATATATTAGTAGGGCCAATGTGTTTGATAAAAGTCGTTGAAATTTCTTGGCTCTTTCTAATAGCTGCCATACAACTTCAATAGTAGTTTGACACAAACAGTATTTTGAAAAACACACAGTACTGAAATTTTGCATAAATTAATATGGTAATACGGCAACTTAAAGTCGTAGTCTGTCCCATAGGCAGTTATGGCATCTTTATTCGTACATAGGATAACAAACTCGTATGGGTATCACAGAGTTGACAAGGTCAACTCTATTTGTTTTCTCGTTTTATATTGCAATTCACAATAATTCTTATATAACAAAGATTACAATAAAAAAATTCTTATTTGGTCAGCACATATTGACCGCAATGTGCATTTTTTGATAAATACCAATAAATTTCTTATTTCTCTATAGCGAAAGAATTGCAGAAGTTTGTGAAAATGTTCTTTTTTTTCTTATTACAAATTTTAAGAAAATTAAAGTAACCTATATGTTAGTTAACATATACGTCTGAAAATGTAAATTGATTTTTTCAATTTCTATGGTTCGATTTTCCCGAAAAGTTTACTAGTTTAGTAATTATAAAATATTATTTGCAATGTTTGAAAATATCTGTTAATTTTTTTTTTAAAAATGAGTTCAGATAAAATTTTTTATGCCTGAAATATTCCAAACTTTGATCAATTTGTACATTAAGAGTTAACTCAAATATAAATTTAAGTAGATGTGTACGCAAATACACCTCCAAATCGAATGATCAACAGACCGACACTTAGTAAAAGCTTTTAATTTAATCTTTCTTTATCTTGAAGAAATTCATTTCAGTCTAAAACTTGATATGTAAAATTTGATACGATGACAATACTTTTCATTCGATCTAGTTTTGTATGCAATACGATCAGTAAAAATATATTTAATTATATCAATTTTATAAAAATAGACAAGAAGATTAAAAAATTCGAAAACGTGATATTGACGTAAACAGGATATTTATATTAGACAGTGAGTTTTTCTATTGAAAACAATGCATAAATAAGTAACTTTAGGTTTTAATAATCTCAATGTAATCTTAATTACGTTGGATTGAAATAAATAAGATTTATTAATTAAAATTGATTAAATTGCAATTAATTGTCATTTTACACAGTTTGATTCATTTAAAACATTATAATGAACTTTGAAATAGAAATAAACAATTAAAAAATGGCTACTTTAATTTAAAAATACACATAATATTTTGGTACTTATACACCGCAGATTGTGTAGATTGTAGATTTCAGAAGGGGGCAATAATACAACGCGACCTAAACCGTTGATCGCAAGTGCTCTGTGTCTTCTTGAGCGCCCTTTGAGACTCATATTTTTGATGAATCTGAACAAATATTCTGGGGAAATATCCCAATAACGGCATATACCCACCAGCGTGGCTCCGTTAAAACTACCCTTTCTCTTGAGAACCAGCGATACCTGCATATACTGTACACTGTAGTATATTTTTCCGCTTTAGTTTATTTTTTATAATTTTTAATTATTACTTTACATTTATTTATTAACATTTATTTAATTTTCTACCATCTACTTGACATTTAATATTGTTACTTGTTAGAATATATCTTAGATTATACTTAGATATAATTTCTACGTAACGACTTCATTCGATGAATGACGAAATTTTTTAATGCCAACTATGCACATTTAAACCTAAAACTCTAAAGTTGTTGTAAGCAAGTTGAGTACAATAATAAGAATAATCACCTGCAGCATATTAAGGTAGCCGTTTTAATAAAAAGTTTTTTGGGATTCGCTAAATGTTGTGTTAATGTTTGTAATTTGTATTTTTTTTTTAATATCTAGGATTTAGTTAAATTTAAAGATCTAAATAAATAAACACTGTTTCCCATTTTCATTCCCAGTAACAAAATTTGGAATGCGCATCCTATAACTGATGAATTGAATTAATTTAATAAACGCTTAAAAGCAAAACAAAAACAAAATATGTAGAAAAAAAATTTAGGAAAAATGGCTATGCAGGATGACATGCAAAATTTATATTGGCGCAAGACGATTTGATAATTATTATTATTTACGTAATAATATTTAAAATTTTTTCGAAAATAAACACACAAAATTGCAGATAGCTAAGAAAATTTCGATCGTTTTGTATATTTTGATTACTGTGTTCTTATTTTAATAATAGCACAGGCGGATTAAAGCTAGACAGCAATAAAATATTATATACAATGTAAATATGATTATGGAAAGCAAATTGACATCAAGTGCATAGGTCA